GATCCAGGAAGGCGTGAAAACGGAGAACGATCACATCAACCTGAAAGTGGCGGGGCAGGACGGCTCTGTGGTGCAGTTCAAAATCAAGCGGCACACCCCGCTGAGCAAGCTGATGAAGGCCTACTGCGAGCGGCAGGTAGGCACGGCCCCACAGGGCACCCCCCTGGCTCCCTACTGCTCCTTAGGGAAGAGTCCTTGGGATGGTGGAAGCTTTGCTGGAACGTTGAAAGCAGGGCATGTATACCCAGGCGCGTAGGAGAGCGAGGGGTCAGGGTACTGCAGCTTTTTCTCTTCGTGAAAGCTTCCTCTTCCTCCTCAGGTGCTCCCAGAGCTCTAAAAATGTCCCATGGTGGTGTTACAAAAACTTCCCGAGTTCTGATCCAGGCTCTGAGCCTGATTCACTCTGAACTCAGTGCCTCGTCACCCTCAGTCCCGTCATCTCTAAAGACTTTTATCAGCTTTACACTGAGCATGTTTTCCACCACAAAACAAATTCTCCCATGCTGTGGATTTTGCTGTAGAGTTGGGTTTTTTCTCCTCCTCCCTTCACGTGTCTCTCCCGGTGCCTGTCGGGCTGCTGGATTTTGCAGGTGGTGGCTGGTGCTCTGTGTCGGTGGCCTTGGTGCCACCCTGAGCCGGGTTTGTCCTCACAGCCCTGTGTCTGAGCCCTGGGCGCCTCCGCTCCTGTGCTGTGTGAGGGGGTGGAGATGCGAACGGCTCTCAGAAGCGGAGTTGGATTTTCCTTGCTGGTGTTTCACCTTGGCCATAGACCTCCCTGAAGAGATGCAGGGAGTTTTGTGTTGGTATGACACTGTGCATGACTGGAAGCGCGAGTTGTGCGAGGATTTCGAAGGGGTTTTAGAAGGTTTAGAGGGCAAAGCAAAGACCTCGGTTCCCTGAGGCAGGGAGTGGGGCTGCGAGTGATGAATCGTGGCCAAAACAGGATTCGGTCATGAATTCAGCTCAGGTTTAAGGGCAAGGTTAATTGCTGCTGTTAGACCCTGTCACAAACCTTGCAAGTAAAAACTGGTGTCAAGTCCTGCAAGTTCTTTTTTCCTCTATCTTCTTTGTGGTTCCTCTTTTCATCAGAAGACAATGGGAGCAGATGCCTGGCATGAGTGAAGACTTGACTGAACTGTGGGTGGTTGGTGCTGGTAGCTGGTTACACCAAAAAGCAGCTGTTTCAGATTTTTCTAAAATGTTTTCCTTGGGTCAACTTAATCCACCTTTAACTTCTCTGACAGTGTGAGCCATGGTTGCTGCTCCTTCCTGCCGCTCTGCTTAGATAGCAGGACAGACGCGCTGAGCAGCCTGTCTGATTAAATCTTTGGGGGTCTTAATTTTGTTCATATTCATTCTGACAGTAAATCCGCAAATGTTTTGTCTGGATTCGGAAACAAAAGTGTGGTTTCTCCTATTAATGACTTTAAACTTGCAGGGCTTGTCGATGAGGCAGATTAGGTTCAGATTTGATGGACAACCGATCAGTGAAACGGACACACCTGCACAGGTAAAACCCTTTTCCTGCAAATGGCTGTCCAGATACTGTGATGTCTGTGTGCAGATCAAAGGGATTTGAAATCAAAATGATTCTGAAACAGTTGGTGTAAGTTTAGCCTGTTCCAAATAATTTGTCAAGGGTGGGATTTTTTTTTTGTTTTCACTGTTTGGAGGAGGGAGGAAAACGCGCGGGAGCACCAGTGTAGAACCAGCTGGCACTGGTGTGGGCAGGACCCTGGCAGGCGCTGGCATCGCTCTGGTTCTGCATTGGGTTGCTCGGAGCCTGCACTGGAGCTGTACCAGCCAGCAGCACTGGGGAATTTCTTGGGCTGGCAGGGCCTGAGGCGAGGAAGAGGAGACGCTTGGCTGGGCAATTTCTTGTAGGAGATGCTGAACTGCGGAACTGGGCCTGATTGCCAGGTGTGCTTCTGAGGGGTGTTTCGGTGTTGGCGATGCTCCGGTGGGAGTGCCTGCTCCGGAGTGAGCGTTGGCAAGCGCTTCACGGCTGATTAAAATCACACCTTAAGCGCTCCATTTTTTGGTAGCATTCGGGGTAGAAAGCTGAGCGCTTTGTGTAACCCTGGGGCTGTGTACTTCAAGTCTTGTGTTTTCCATATTCCTCTGGCAGCTGGAGATGGAAGATGAAGATACTATCGATGTGTTCCAACAGCAGACGGGTGGGGTGTGCTAAGACACGCTGTCCTTCGGAGAAGAGCAGCACCTCACTCTCGCATCTGTCCTTCAGTTTGCTACTAAACGGAACACAAATGAACATGCCAATCGCACGGGATTCTTCTCAAGTTTAGAGGACATTTACCAAAATCGCTTGTTGTCTTTGACGTACTGCGTGTGCAAGTTGAAACAGTATCTGCAGGGATTAATCTGTATCTTAAATTGGGCCCATTTGATTTAAGTTCAGATTAGTAATACGTGTTGTCTCTCTGCTGTTATCTTCTATTTTTTTTTTCCTTTCTGTAAACCTGTGGTCTAAATATTCATCCACGTGTCAGCACACGGAGCGTTCGTTCCTGGTTCTGGTTGGTCTTGCCCCTCTTGAATTCTAATCATGTAAATAATTCAGTATATTTCCATGCCAATGGTGAGCGTAGGAGTTTCCTTTTATGCCTGAGAGAAGGAAAAGAGAGGCTGATTTGAAGCTTTTAGCGCGCGTTGCAAACACAGTTATTACTTCAGGAGCGTTGAGCTCGCGACACAAGGCTGGTACATGCAGATAAGATGCCTAGTGTGGAGGTGGAGCCTAAGATATCACAGATTTACATATGCTTTGTCATATTATGATAAAGTCATCTGAAATATACTTTTTTTTTTTTAATGCAGAAATGAGATTTGTGCTGAATTCTTGTCAGACCTGGAGCAGCTGGTCAAAAAAAGGCTTGTGATGGAGCAGCAAGATTTTTTTGTTGTGCAAGTTTAGGAAAAGAGAAAACCCATCACGGCAGCTTCAGCCGTTTGCTGAGTGACGGGCAGAACCTGCCGCCTTCCCTCTGCTCCCTTTTGTACGTCTCTCTTTCTTGGTGGGTACCAGAAGTGTGCGGCCTCAGGTTTCTTTTTAACACTTGATTTTAGTAGATAAACTTGATAAATGAGGAGAAAAAAAAAAAGCGCCTTTAATGTCACTGAGACGTATATGCGGAAGAGCTGTCAACCCGGTGAGCAAGGCAAGGGAGAGACACGGGTGTGAGAAACCAGCGGGCTGCTCTGCCGCCTTCCAAAAGTCCATGGGATTTTAAATGCCTTTGTGTGACGCGTTGAGCCCCGCGCAAGGCCTGGAGGTGCAGTTTCCCACCAGCCGGCCCAGCATCCCTCAATGGCCAGCTGCTGCTCCAGGGGTCGGTACCTGCCTTTTCCGTTTTCCCGCCCCGTTTGCCCATGGTAGATCATCTCCCACTCGCTGGGAAGGCTCTGGTTTTCATTTTCTTGTGGATGGGCTGGAGTGGGGTGTCCTGTAGATCTCATCGTTTATTCACCGATTTGTACATTTTATTGTTTTACTCTTGTATACAGTAAATACAGTTTGGTACTCTGTCTCCTGCCTTCCCTTTGATATGGCTGCGCTCCCCTGCCCTCCGCTCCTTGTCCCCCTTCGTGCTGGGGAGGTGTATGTGGCCGCGGTGCTTCTGGCCGCCCCGGGTTGCAGCAAACCCCGCCAACCTGGGGGGATTTTGCCCCGTAACGCAACTTTCTTCACCCTTTTCTCCTTCCTGCCT